GCCGAAAGTCCAAGAATGTCGAGTTGGTACTTCATGGTCTCATCAACTAATTCATGTTCTTTTCCTCTGAGTAGGGATATGTTACAGCTGCCGACTTTTAGCTACCACTGGCGATGTCGTTGTGGTGGAGTCTTTCTGAAGTGCTATAATGGCATCGCGCTGTCTGCCTGCTCCGCTCAGAGCGGGTAAGGACTCTGTTGCTGACTGGTATCTTCGTCGTCGTTCCCTCGGTCTTCGTCTGCCGTCGTTGTGCTGCCACGCCCCCGGCTGGCAGAGGGCAGTGAGCAGGTTCTGATCGCCGACTTTTCGCAGTCTGACTCGGTCCCCCCAACAGCGTGCATGGGCCTTGGTAACCCGGGCGACGACCGAGCCGGTATAATTTTCGATGCCGTCAATACCATGAGTGGCAGGTGGCTGAGTTTTACGGAGACTTGGCACTTTTTCGAACCCTCCTCCTTTCTCATCCGGGCTTGAGACCGACAACGGCGGAGTTTCATAACTTCAGACTTCTATTCCCGAAAAATGTTTTAGTTTTACATTTTATGAAATAAGCCATGGAGCATATCCCATTCACGTTCCTCCCATACTTAATTAATTTTAGATTAGTTCGTTTGACCATGCAGGCCTTGTTAAACTTTTGATGTCATTCTGTATTTCTAATTTTCTGAGTGGAACTAAACTACCTCTGAAGATGGCAAATAATCTGCGGCTAGAAATAATTAATCTGGTGAACAGCTGCAGAAAATGTTAAGCACATTTTTTAAAGACGTTACTTTTGACCTGAAAATTGAATATGCTTATCGCTTTGGATAGGTATTGTCCGAGACCCGTGCTTACGGGACAAATGTCAAATCCCTTTGAGCACTGGTCGCTCTTTACTTTGTTCCTGTCTTTTGATTTTCCCAAATTCAGAACATTATGTCTAGTCTGCATATCCTACAGCTCTGTGAGAGAGACAGCGGTGACCACCTCTAAAGGCGCAGCATGCTGTTTAAAATACTAATTATCTGGCTGTTTCCTTTGCACTCTAAGGGCCGTTGTCTTCTCCGTACCCCAGGGCAGCTTGGCTTTCCTCCTGAGCACAACTACTTATTTCACCAAATAAATGACGAGGTTTTAAAATAATTAAAGCATCATGATCGTCGCGGTATCCTGAGTGGACAGCGTGGGGGAGCTAAATAATTCTCTTCCTCCTTTTCGTAGACCAACCACTCCGGTTATTCAAATATTAGTCTCTCAAAATCAAAATCTTTTATGTTTCAAATAGGTTACCTCGATGAGGCAGCTCGCTTTAGATGAAATTTACTGTGACCATGCAGCGACCATGATCAAAGACGGTGCCTCGCTTGATGCAGGTCTCAGCTAAGGAGATGCACAATTTCTGACTGATGAGTAGGTACTCCAGTTTAACTCCTACGCTTCCTTCTGGCGACTCGATGAGTTCATTATGAGGAAAATAGATATCGCTGACGATTGAGCTGTTTTTGGTGCGAGGGCATGACAGACAACCGCCGTTTTTATTCGAGCTGTCAGTACCATGACGGCTAAGTACGAATAGCCATTTGTTTTACTGGATTGCAACCTCCTTGTCGAGGTCGGATGATAACTGTGATATTATGATGTGACAACTCGCTGACACATGACCTCAAACACTAATAAAAGGCGCGTAATCGACACATCCGTTGGGAAAGAGTCAAAATGACATCCAGCTTGGCCTGGAGACTATAATTCTTTCCGACACCTGTTTAACAAAAATAACTGCGCGAATAACCATCTTTTGCTAGAGGATACCCACTCCGGCACGAAACAATCTATTGTAGCTTGCCCATCAAAATGACCCCTCAATTATTCAGGTCAAACATCGCTTTTTCAAAAAGTTGATATTCTTTGACCGCCCAGTATATGGAGTTGCACCGGCGGATATCCTGCAAATTACTTTGGCCAGATAAGAAAAGAACGTTAAAACATC